TGTATCACATATTTATATTAATATAAATATGTATATATGTATAAATAATCTCATATTTTCTTGAAAATCCAAGGGGGGGAATGCTATAATTGTTCTTAAGAAACTTTACAGTCCAAAGATTTTTCCTTTCCTCTTATCTAAAAGTCTATTATTCATTAATTGTACATCCTTAGAGAAACCCAGCCCATCACCATCATCAATATTCCAACTTTGGAACAAAGAGTGTTTTTTACTGACCTTCCTGTCTTCTCAATCTTTGTTCCTCCATATTAAGTAGTCCAATTCCTTAAACCATTTCTCATCAACTTTTTCTTCCATCACTTTCAAAAATTTCTATGATATACACTAGTACTTTTGAGTGCTCAATTTTCCCTTGAGTTACGAGGCTCCAAACTCTCTCTTGAAGAGGGCTCAAAAGGACATGTATCTATAGCTCCTCAATTTAGGAATTTTAAATAGAAGCATTTTGCAAAAAAAAAAAAAGAGTTTCAAAGTAGATTTTAGAAAACTTTAATGTTAAAAAGCTTTTGCTTTAGAAAACCCCACATATATATTATAATGGTTAATTTTATGCATCAAGTTGGCTAGGCCATGGTATCTAGGTATTTGGTCAAACATTCTAGATGTTTCTGTGAATGCACTTTGTAAATGAGATTAACATTTAAATTAGTAGACTTTGAATAAATTACCCTCTATAATGTAGGTGGGCCTCATCTAATCAGTTGAATGCTTTAATAGAAAAAGACTGATCTCCCTAGAAGAATTTTGCCAGCAGATTGCCTTTGGACTTGAACTGCAACACCAGCTCTTTCCTGTGTCTCCAGCCTGCTGTTCTACTGTGCAGATATTGAACTTGAAAGCTGTCAAAATCTGTGTGAGCCAGTTCCTTAAAATAAATCTCTATACACACACATACACACACACACACACACACACATACAGTAACACAAGTTTCATGAGAAAATATGTATGAATAATCCTACTTACCACATTTTTATATTTATATAAATATGTATATATAAATATATGATACAATTTTTATTAGGTCATTACCATAGACTTTGAAGTCAGACACATCTGGGTTCTGAACTCTGCGCCTTTGCCATGTTATTTAGTCTTCTGACCTTGAGTCTGTTTCCTCATCTGCTAAAATGAGGATAATTATCTGAACTTCTCATAGTTATTGTGCAGATGAAAGAAAATCATATATACAAAGTACTCAGCACAACACTTAACAGAAAGCCAATTGCTCAATAAGTGTTATTATTATTATTGTTGATGTTATTACTACTTATGTTGAAAATTCTTGACCTAAACCTGTTACACAGGAATAATTTTAGGGATTGCCACTTTTCTTCTTCCTCCCTATGACTCCTTGAAATGTGTTTTGATCACAAAAATCCATCTTGAGTTGCAAGTTTCAAAAATTTTCGTGCAGCATGGAAATTAATAGTTACAACTTACTTGAGTTTCTGTAATTTGCAATTTGGATCTTTTAAGCCTTCACAGAGCAATTTCAAAGCTAAAGCATCCAGTTTTGTCTCACTAAATTCCAGCTCAGTGAGCCACCGATTGGTGCTGAGAACAACTGCTAGCACCCCACAAGAAGCAGAAGAGATAAGTCATCAGTACAACCTTGAGAACAGAATGACCTCATTACCTTATTCACACTCTCCCCCGATACAAACAGAAATTGACAAAAATTATATGAACACAGATAACAAATTCCCCCGCTACCAGTTACCTCAATGTCTGTAAGATACAGTTTGGCTGTTTTAATCCTTCACACAGAAGCTTCACTTCTGAATCTTCCGGGGTATGTTTTACAAATTCCAAATCTATCAGATACTGGTTGGTTTCTAATACTAAAGAGAGGTCCCTACTACAAGAAGCTGTGAGGTGGCAGAAAATCATTCTGTGTGGAGAAGAAGAAATTTAAGGGAAGAAATAAAATAGTACTCTAAAGGTACCTGTTTGCACCTTACTGATATAATGAATTATTTCAATTCATTCAATAATTAATTTATTGAGTGCTTATTACTGTGCTAGATGCTGAAAACACAGAAATAATTAAGACCTAGACACATAAATAATTAAGACCCAGACCGTGCCATCAAGGCATGCTCAGTTAATGAGGAAAAATATTAGAAAATCATAGATTATAATACAGTGTGAAAAATACTGCAAGTGGTATGCACAAGGTATCATGGAGACACAGAAAGGTTGCACAATTCAGCCTAGCTTAGGGTGGAGTTTGGAGGATCAAAAAATACTTAAAAGAGGAAGAAATACGTGAGTGTTGTCGTAAATGGGGAATGGAAATTAAACAGGAGTTAGATGGATGAGAAGAATGGAAGAGGGGAGAACAAGAGGGGTGCTTATGGAGCAGCCTGTGCAAAGGCCAGGAGGCAAGGGAGATAGAAAAGATGCTTCATTTGAGAACCTGCCAGTTATCTGCCATGGCCTATTTTTTTTTCCCATGACACTTGTTTAGTTTATTTAAAAAAAAAAAAAGTGAGAGTTTCTGCTGTGGTAGAACCTCTCTTGATACTGTGGAAATTAAAAATCATATCTTTATTTAAAAGACTGGAAGACTGTATATCAAACTATTAACAGTGATTATCTTTCAGGTTTGGAGAAGGGTGGGGTTAGAGACAGTTAATTTCCAGGTAATTAAAAATTATTTATAATGATTAGTTATCAGAAAAAAGTTTTTAATTTTGAAAAACATAATACATGTTTGTGATTAATAATTTTTAAAATAGAAAAAATATAAAGAATAAAGTTTTTTTCACTGGGATGGGGAGCACGGCACAATGAATGCAGTTAGTATTAATGTAATGGCTAGATGGAAAGCCAGAGAAGAGAAAGAGCAACTAGAAGGATCGTTTTATAAACTATATAAATGTCTAACCAATGTATTGTATACTTGAAACTAATAAAATAAAATTAAAAAAAGAAAAAAGAAAAATTCAACTTATGAAAAAAATAAATAAAATAAAATATTTACATCAATCTATTAAAAAAAAAAGTACTATATTCTTGTCCCAAAGATAACCACTGTTAAAATTCTGGTATATAACTTCACAGATTTTTAATGCATGTATACATATAATGTTCTTTATAACAAATGAAATCATAGAAAGATGTTATTTTAAAAACATAAAACCTTTTTCCCAACCTCCACTCTGAATCCACTGCCCACAGACAACCGATGTTAAAAGTCTGGTATATATTCTTCCATTCCTTTTTTAAAGAAACTTGTGCAAAGACACACAAAGACACACACACAGTATTTGTTTGTACATTTTACAAAAATGGGGTTACAGAAAACATTACATCAACTTAACATGCACTTTGTCATTCGGCCCTCATTGTAAACCCACAGAAACTGAGATTCCGTTACAGCACACGGTCATCATGGTAAGTGGCAAAGTAAAACTCAACTTGGGTTCTGTCTGGTTTATCCTGTAGGCCCCAGAAAGCCATTGGAGGTTTAAAGAGACATGGTCGGACCCTTCTGATGACAGGGCAGGGTAGGAAACAGATCTGATAACAGAGGGCTGCAGTGGTCTCGGGAAGATATGGGGGGCGTGAAGGTAGATAAGATTCAAGACACGTTTCAGGGGTAGGTAATGACCATTTAGAATGACTACAGTGTTTGGTCTTGGGTCAACGCGGGATGAGGCTATTCTCTGACTCCACCTTTTACTTCCGGGTACCTGAGGTCACAGAGAGATTCGGGCTCTTTGCAATTCTAGAACACATCAGCTCTAGGAGGGGAGCGGATCTTGGCATGGGACAAACCATTATGGCGGGGTGAAAATTTTTAAAACTTTATTACAAACTCTTCACATTCTTGGACCTAAGTCTTTTCTGACCATTCTTGTTTCTTCCCGCTGTCAAGGCCTTTCAACACTGTAGCAGGTTCGCTTATGTCCCGGGGCCGAGGGAAGGGACCTTCCTGGTACATTCCCTCCCACCCCTACTATCTCTGTAAGTTAGAACAGTCTCAAGGTAAAAGCCTCCAGAGTTGGCCCCAAGGTTCATTTTTCCAGGAGCTCTTGGAGGAAGAGAGGTGCCGTGACTCTTTGGGTGTCTTAGGCAGGGGCAGTAAGTACCTACGGTAGGCGGGTTTGGTCAGCAGGTGTGGTCAGCCTGCCCCTCTTCCGGCCCCTAGCTGGAGACGTAAGGGCTGGTGGGAGTTATCCTGGGAGGAGCGAGGATCTGAAGAGGCAGGGGAAGGCAAGCAAATGGGAGGAGACTGAGAGGGAGGGGAGGAGCTAAGGGTGAAGGGAGAGGCTAAGGGAAAGGGGCAATGGTCACTGGTTGATTCGTTCCCCCAGAGCCAGCCAAGCTCCTAAAGCCTTTGCAGTCATGGCCTTAAAACCCGAGGATCCCTCTGGGGGATTCCAGCACGGCAAGGTGGTGGACTTCATTAACAAGAAAATGGCCAGACATGTGAAAGGCCTTGAGTTCTACGTCGAGAATACATCTCTGTCCTGGGTAGAGGTGGAAGACAAGCTCAAGGCCATCCTGGAGGACAGCGCGATGCCCAGCAAGGCCAAAGAGGCCTGTGCCTGGGGCAGCCTGGCCCTGGGTGTGCGCTTTGCCCGCAGGCAGGGCCAGTTAAACGCGTGCAGGGTGCAATGGCTACATGATTTCGCCAAACTGCACAAGTCTGCTGCACGGGCCTTGGCCTCGGACTTGAAGGAGCTTACGGCGCAGCAGGAGATGGAGCGCAAAGAGGCTGCCTACCAGCTGCAGCTGACTCAAGCTAAACTGGAAAAGGTGCAGAAAGAGAGGGACCTGCTGAGGTGCCAGCTCTTCCAAGTAAGATTACCCCACGTGATCCCTGCCCCATCTCCTTGCCTCGCCTTTGTCTATGGGCCCCGCCCCCAGAACAGGTCTCATCCTGCTCACTTCTCTCCAGGAACTGCGGTCTCCCCAGGTGCAGGAGCAGATCGCAGAGGGGCCAGACCTGGCCACTGCCAGTGGGACTGGGACAGAAAGAGCAGGTGAGGAGGTAGACCAGGTGGGGGTGCTGCAGCAGGAGGAGGAAGACAGATGCTGAGGATGAGGAGGGAGTGGAGGGGGCGGAGACCAAAAAGGAGTTGGGTGTATATCTCTTGCAGCTTCTGGGAGAGGGGGAGGCAGTGGGGGAGAATACATTTTTGGCGGGCAGAGGGAGGGAGACCTCACTCAGGTCAGTGGAAACTGCCATGTTTTATTTCTCTGGGACCTTGAAGCCCGGGTCCACAGTCTCACCAGAAACCCTTCCTGTCCAGCTCCCTGTCTTTCACATACTCATACCCCTTATTCCCCTTCCCAGGTGCACCCACACCATCCCCACCAGCAGCAGCGTTCAAAGCTGGAGCTCCACCTCAGGTGTCTCCCCACAAGGAGCCCTCCGATGTTAGATTGAAGTCTAATGTGGGGGCCCAGGGAAAAGAATCCCAAGAAGACAAGAGAGACACCAATCTCCAATGGCGGCGAAGACCACTATTTCGCAGGCCCGGGGATTGGGACTGCCCTTGGTGCAAAGCCGTGAATTTTTCACGGAGGGAAATTTGTTTCTGCTGTAAGAGGGGAATCTGGCTACAGAAGCCTTAAATTCAGAAATGTTTAATAGAACAGAAACATATCCTAATGGGAAATTGATTTTCAGATTGATGTGGGGGGACAGGCTGGAGGGCGTGGGGGAGGGGCTGGATGGAGTGGATGGAGGGGCTGGGTAGAGTCGGGGGGATGAATGGGATAATGGTGCTAGGGGAGTGGGAGAGGCTAGGTGGGAGGTGGGGAAGGTATAGACTGACAGGAAGAGACATGTTTTGATGATACACTTTGTGTTCTAGAACATAAGTATTGGACATTCCAGACATGCTGCAGCTTCTGTGTGTGTGTGTCTCTCTCTCCCACCCTAGTATCTGGTGGACCTGGGCACCCACTCCCTCCTCGCACCTAGGCTGTAGGTTATTGCAGAAGGAGTGGACATTTGACCTATCCTGAGCCAAACAGATTCACACTAGAGAATCTGAATAGAGGCAGATTCCATAGTTGGGATTACGTTAGGCAACGAAGCAGTGGGTCATTTGGAGTTGGGGCCAAGGTCAGAGCCATGGTCATGGAGGCTACAGCAGAGGCCTGGCCCTGGCTGTCCTGCCTATGGAAAAGCAGAGCCATGTGCTTTACAGAGGCCGAGTGTGTGAGAGGACACCAGTATGACATTCCAAGCAGCAGAAAGGCTCAGAGAAGTGTTGATCCTGTGACCCCAGAGATTAAGTGGTGGCCCAACCACTTTTCTATTACTTGCAATCGTGCTGGGTGAAAATCCACTCTACACAGATCCCCCCCTTTTTTTTTACTCTAACTTGAATGGATTCCTGTTCTGGGAAACCAGATTATTTCCAAGTCAGAAATTGGCACTAAAAGAGCAGTTGCAAAAATCAAAGAAAACATCCGAACTGGCTAGGGACATGCCTCAGGGAGTGATGAGTAGTGGGGATTCCTGCACCCCAAGTTTCCAGAAATGAATTAGGCAAGAAGTCTGTTCATTTTTTGAGCGAGTTATATCACTAAAAACAATCCAGACGGGCTTGGAGTTAACTCCGGGCTTACAACACGGCAGAGGTTTGCCACTCCTAAGGAAAGCCCTCAGCGCTTGCTTACAGAGGATGCCAGTACCAGCTAAAGGCAAGGACTGCTTTGGCTATTCTGACCCATGACCAGAGAATCCTCGCCAGTCCGCAGTGGGCAGAATTGGCTACAATCAGATCTGAACAGGGGACTCGAGCCACCGCCAAGGAGGTGAGTCAGCAACTGATTGTGCACGACAGGTTTGCTGGTCTAGATCACTGACCAAAGTATGGTGCCATCCTGAGGGATTCTCTCCCCCAACGTACCACCAGGGTAAATATGCGGGGAGAATCTAGGTACAAAACCCTCAGTGAATTCAAACATGTGGAACAGAACACATCCCAGTGGAAAATCAATTTCCAAAGGGAGGGGTTGAACCGGGAAAGGGGGAGGATGGTCTGCATCTCCTCCTCTCATGATAATGAACAGTGTCGAGGGGGGCTAAATGCATGGTTTAGCTTGCAGGTGGAAGGATGGTGAGGAGTCACACCATGAGACAACTGAAGGAACCCTGAACATCACTGGGGACTTTGGATCTAGAGACTGACGCTGCCATGGCCCTGGGACATCTCTACAGCAGCTGGATGTGACACTCTGGGCTATTTCCTGTTGGGGCAGGTGTGGACAACCATCAGAAGTGGGGAGCAAGATCGCCTGTCTGCCCTTGTCAGAAATGTCCTTGGGCTTGTTACATCCTTCTAGGGCAGGGTTTCCCAACCTCTGCACTCTTGACGCTTGACGTTGGGTAATTCTATGTTGTAGGGGGCTGTCAGGTACACTGTAGGATGTTTGGCAGAATCCCTGGCCTCTACCCACCAGATGCCAGTTGCACATCCCCCCTAACTGTGACAACTAAAAATGTTTGCAGATATTGCCACATGTCCACTAGGGGATAAAACGGCCCCTGGTTGGGAACCATGGAGGCAATGAGGTACTTAGGAGTATTCAGAACAGGGGGAAGAGAGTTGCCAGGGGAGCATGCTCAGCAGTGCCCAGGGCTGCAGGAGGGCTCTTAACTGTTCATTTGGCCTGGCATTCACTTTTGATCTTTGAGTAGATCTGAGCGTGGGAGGTGCAAAAGCCAAACAGACAGTACTCAGGCATGAAAGAGCAAGAAGTAAGGAAGTACAGTCAGTGAGGGGGGCTCTTCTTCAAGGATTCTTGCCTATGAAGGGATGAAGTGATGTGGGATACACAGCTGAGAGAGGGTTCTTTTGAATATGGGAGAAGCTTGACCCATGGAGAAGGAGATTGCTGAAGAAAGCCTGAAAACAAGAAATATATAAAAGAATGAGGCAGATCCTGCATACTGTGGAGGCATATCCATTGCTCTGTTCATTGAAAAAGAAATACGAAGGGCCAGTCTTGTTTTCTGTGAAACAAAACTCCCCAAAGTTCTGTAAGTGTGTATATGTGTGCTTTGTACATTATAATGTGTAAGGCACACATAAATTTATAGATTTATGCTTGAAAAAGGTCTGGGAAGACATTTAACAAACAAAGTATTACCTAGGAAGGGTGGTATCAGGGTCAGGGGATGGGAAGAAGCAGTAGGGGTGTGGGAGTATAGGGTTGGGTGGAGTGGATTATGGAGCAGTGGGGTAGAGGGCTTTTTATCTTTATATACTGTGCTGTGTAAAGTAAAATAATTAAATGCTCACAAAAATACAAAAGGAAGTGAATTTACTGGCTTGAGTGGGTGTAGAAAGGGCATCTCTTCCTTTGAGACAGGAGGGAAGGAAAGCAGAAATTGATCTGTGTGGTGACTGGGTGGGAAACCAAAGAGGCTCAGGCCTGTGTGTGAGTGACATGGACAGACAAGCGGACAAGGCACCTAAGAGTGAGTAAGGACAAAGTCAGGGCAGGGTTGGGGAATTCTGAGCGGTGACACTTTGGGGAATAACTGCAGGGGTGGGGAGAATGCAAGGAGAGAAAAAGATAATCAAGCTGCATGGAGTGGGACAGGACCCAAATGAAAGAAAACCAAGGGGGAGGTCAGTGGGAGTCTGGAAGGAAAAGGAAGCAGGGAAGTGAGTCCAGGTTGGACACCATACACAAATCTCTTAGGTGTTAAAGCCTGCCACCCACTCACTATAGCAAAAACAGCACAGAAAAAAAGGAAAGAGGCAGGAGGGGCTGGCAGGGACTGCACCTCACTTCCTACCCCTTCCAGGCTCATGGCATATATTTTTATTTGCTGTTTCTCTATGAGAAAGTTGAGCACTAGTTATACTTTGTTTTCAGGTCCGATCAGATGAGAGTGCAATTTCTAGCAACCCAGTCCTTACCCGCAAATACTTAAGAGTTTATAGCAAAATTCAACTTACTTCAAGTCTTTGATTTTACAGTATGGATTACACAGTGCTTGGCAGAGCAAGTGTAGCTGAGACCCTGGCAAATCGCGCAGTTGGAAGGACCTAAAAGAAATAAGATGGCAAAAATAATTTAAAACAAAATAAATAAAAACAACACTTTTTAAAGGCTTATTTTGGCTTCTGTTACCATACCAGCGCTAATTTACCTCTTCCAAAAACCTTAGGAGATATTACCCCATTTTGCAGATAAGGGAATTAAGGCACACACACAAAAAAAAAACCCTTAAGTAATTTGCCCAAGGTCACATAGGTACAGAACAGAGGTCAGTACTCAGGTCTGTCTGAATCCAAAGCTAAAGCTATGTTATTACTGTGTGCCAGGCACTGAGGTAAGCACTTTACCTACACAACTTACTTGACCTGGTCCTTAACAAGTATTACAATCACCATTTTGCAGATACTCAGAGAGGTCAACCTATCTTTACAGTATAACTGATTCTTGGTTGTCCGCACTAACAGAAGAATTAAGGGTAATAATTGAGAACTAGGCAAGTTTAATAGTAAACTCTCACTTAGTCAACATGTTTGAGAGAGGAGTACTTTGGGTTAAATTTTGAAGAGAGTTTAAGCCCTCTGATAAAAGCAATAGGGTTGGAGATGGAGATTCCATCTAAGGCTGATTTTCTGGAAACCCAGAGTGAACGAAAGCCATTTTTTTGTTTCCATCAGTGTTTAAAATCTCTCAATATATTTATCTATTATTTTATTTATAATATACAGTTGGATTGAAGCTGTCATGAATTCGTCAAGACATTAAAGTCCTTCATAATTTGAGTCAATGTAAATTCTCCTACCCCTTCCCCTCTAGCCCCAAACACAAATTCTTGCTGCACCTCCCTTCCACTCCCATTTCTTTCAAACACACCTATCGCATGCTTATTTTCACCACTATGTTACTGCCCACTGAGGAAATACAACTCTTAGAGAAAATACTCAGATTAACTCATTCCCCCAGTAGAAACTTCTGCCCACTCTTGTCTCCTTCTCAAGGTTCCCTACCCCTCAGCTGGCCCTGTAACTAAAGGAAAAGCACTGTCCATCTTAACCCAAGTATTGAGAACAGACTATGACCAGTGGCATTTTCTAGATAACACAAATGAATATGTGTCTTCCTGGCTGCTTTAGTCAATAAGTCAGTAGAACTGTATTTTGTAGTATAGAGTCTGCATTATATAAGTGGTTTACCCAAGCTTCTGAACTCCAGCTCTCGACCTTCTGTGAAGGTGCAAGTCTGGTGCAAAGAGCCCAGGCTTTACAGCAACATACACAGGAGTATAGTACTACCCCTTACTAACCTGGAGTTCTTTGAGACCTCAGTGATGAAGTATATGTAGAGAAACTGATAGCCAATTCAATGCTAAGTTTATAACCTTTTCCAGAATGGTCATCAACACCAAAATAGCAGAGTCTTCAACGGTAATCTTGATGACTTACATGCTCATAACATAATTATAGAGCACATTCACTAGGTGACAATGAAGATTAATAGACACATAAACACACTTGCAGTGGCTAGCACTGCCTGAATATGGTTAGTGCTCAAAAATGTTAACTTTATCTCAGTGTCTACCTAGGTCAGTGTTCAATATGTGATATTCAATATGTTGACTGACATAATATATGAAATGTGGAGATGATTTGTTTTATTTATTGACAATGCTAGCAATGATCATATGCCTGAATACTTGAAATAAAAATGAAAGCTCATCATTTCTGAAGGCTAAAAGACTAGAGAAAAGACATAATGTACTCACTGATTAGGTGTCAAGGCTGGTGGTATGAATGCTGAGGCTTGCTTTTCCTCCTCAAATCCAAGTAGGTGCTGACACTTTAGAGACACCGACAGGTGACTGTGACTGCTTTTTACACAGAATGACATAGCCAGAATGTCCATTTTTGTATAGGTAGGTTGAAGCAGTACAATTTACTGTAAATCATCAATTATCCTTTTTGCATATTCTTCCTCCTGAATCTCATACAAACAGTGAAAAAAGTCCATTGGCTCAATCTGTAACCTAGCAGATTTATCCTTTATTTCTTTCTCAGTCCACTTCAATAATTCTTCTTGAAGTCTTGGAGAGACTTTTCTCCCAAAAGTAGTTTCCACAGTCCTTCCCTTTACTTTACGTAAGAGGCCAAATAAGAAGTGTATAATTAATGATGAAAACCCTTTTCCATATTGTTGGAATATTTCTTGCCATCTTTTCTTCACCTGATTAAAAAACATCCAGCTGCTGTCATTCTTCAAGGCATAAAACACGGCAGTCAGGAACTCCTGGAAACTGAAATGAAAGAAAGTATAGACACTGATACCTCCTTCAGCTTTTTTTCCCAAAAAGTGATTGAGAAAAGTGCAGTCGGTATCATAAACTTCTATCCCATGTCTTCTAAGGTCACTGACTTCAAATAGGACCTGCTGCTTCTGCAGTCGATCTGCAGCCAAAGAGCAAAGACCCCACAAGCAGCTTTGTCCCTTCCACACTGAGATGCCTTTAAGGGTTTTGAAGCACTTGGAAAAGTAGAACAGATACACATCAGTCATGGTCTGAAGTGACCTCTTAAGAGTCCTATCACCATCTCCCTGTGACTGTGGGACAGTGCAGATCATCCAGGAGATGATGGGAAGAGAAGACATAATATCAAGGCTTTCATTTTCTCACAGACCATAGAAGACTCTCATTGCTGCATTAGCAACTGAAAATTGACTCAAGAAATATGCTCTCTTTTCAGCATCTGTAAACCACAGGATCTCTGTCTGGATAGGTTGTTTTAACAAAGAGTGGAGCTTCTTCATGGTTGTAGGCCTGGCAGTTATCAGGAGGGAGGATTTGGGGAACAGTTTTTTCCTCACGAAACTACGTAAAAGGGTCTCTACTGGCTTCCTCTCTTCAGGGTTAGCACTAAGATCCTCTTCCTGGTCATCTATAGGATACTGAAGCTCAGGAAATCCATCAAGAATGAACAGAAGTTTCTCTGGATATATTAGAATAATGTCCAGGATTAGTCCATCCATACCTTGAAAAGCGTTACTTATCAAGTCAGCAGCACTAAAGTTAGCAATATGGCTTATTTCTCTGCAGTTGATG